CTGGGGGTGGGGAGCCGCAAAAATCTCGCTTATAAACTTACGCTCACCATTTTCTTCGAAAATAAATGTGAGTTCCAGAAAAAAGCTAATAGATGAGTAACACAAAGAAAACGATGACGATTTATTGGTTATTCAGAAAAATATCTTAATACATGAAAATGTAGAATTATTTTTATGCTGGTAAACTATAAATGATTCACAAAATTGTTTTTTTTTCTAATTAAAAATACAGATAAATTAGAGCTCGACGAGTGTTTTTCCATTATGAGTATAAAACACTATTTATAAGAAATGTTTGATATTTAAACATTGTTTTACTATTTAAAATAAGCATTAGTTCGATTGATGTAATTTTAATTCTTATTCGGTGCGATGAATTCTTTTAAAGCATATTGATCTTTAATCACAATTAATATTTATTGCAGATTATTGATCTCTATTTTTATTTTTGCACACTGAAAAAAACTAAGTCTGAAATTAATGTTTAATGCATTTAATCTATGATAGATAGTCCTTAATAAATCTTATCATAGTAAACAGCGCGTGTTAACGTGTCTTACAGTAATATTTACTAGCGCATAATGCTCTGCTTTTTTAACGAGGTGCAGTGTGTGTATACAGTAACACAGAATTCTGTTAGATACAAAATTCTATATCGGTACTGTTCATTGCATTTTAAAGTCATATAGATATTAATAGTGCCGAATTCTTGTTGTTTTTCTTGTGAGAATTATGTCGCCCCTCAGCAGTTTTAATAGGTGCCACTCTGCTGACCAAACTGAGGACACTAACCCCTCCCCATGTCGTCGGAAAAATCACATAATCCAAATCAAGAACGTAATGTAGGACGCTAAAAAGACATTCATAAAATAGTAAGAATACATCTCAAGATATTTCCCTATTTTGAGAGAGTGAATACAGGGGGAACGTGTCATTTTTTTGAAAAAGTGTCTTTTTTAACTGTTGTAAGAAACAGCTCGCCGAGGTACAGAAAGCAGCTGTCGTTAAAAAATGGTGTAGCGGTGTGTGATTGAGGAGAACTCTTACAGTAGTACTCGTACCCATACACTGAGAATTGCATTTACTTGTGAAAGCAAGAATGAAACTTTTAATCCCTTTCACAATATACTATTCATGATTAAGTTTTTTATGAATGTATTCATGTTCAAAGTCATAGGAATGCAGACAGAAACTTATACTCGATGGCAAAGGGGCTTTGGAATCTAAGAAAAGAATTTGAGTCTCTTCATGCATCTGAGATTGCTACCAGAGACCGAAACCGAATCGAATTCGCGAATAATTCGATTCGATTCGATTCGCCCCAGCCGAATCGAATCGACTCCGAATAGAGCTTGAAAATTGCCGAATCGAATCGAATGAATAAAAAAAAAAGTGAAAAAAGTCGAAGCGAATCGAATGAATAAAAAAAAGCGAAAAAAGTCGAATCGAATCGAATGATACTTCAAAAAAAGAGGTCGAATCGAATCGATTCATTTTTTTTCATTTCTATTCGGCTATTCNAAAAAATGGAAACTTTATTTCTTACTCACTCTTTCTTTTCTTTACAAACGCAGATCTTTATTTCTCTTTTTTTATGCATATGTGAACCATTAATGGCACAATAAACTATATATAAAAAAAAAAAGGACGTCCGCTGTTTCTCTTGATATCTGCCAATCGTGTTCATTTAATGGTCATTATTGTTCTCTTAAATAGCGCTATCATGGTTGAATGCACTTTGATTGATGTAGGAAATGACCATTTACAACGGACGGACATTGTTTCTTTCTTTTCTTTTCTTTTCTTTAGTCACGCACATTTGTTGTTAACCTCTTTGTGTATTACGTATGGCTAGGTTCAAGTGAAAATTTAGCTTAAGAGATAAACATAACAAAGAAAATGTGTTATCTCTTTCTTTTAGTTTTAGTCCGCATTTGGCGTTATTCTAGATAGTTGTTACACTTATAGCTGCTTTTGAACATGTCCAGCTTTGACGATATTTCATCGCCTAGTTCAACTCGTACAACAACTTCTTGTGCATCACCCATAACAACAGAATATTCAACACGTACAATTCGACATTTATTACTAGAAGACCAAGATAATTTGAAGTGATAACAAATAATCACAAACGCTCAACAGCTGCTTGCTGGAAAGTTTTTGGTTTTCCAGCAAAAAAAACAAAAATCTTCATGTCAACGCTAATGGACAAGCAAAATCAACAAAATGAAGGTACATACGATGAGGTGGATCGTTATATAGCTTTAAAACTTGGCGAAGACGAACAATATTCAAATCCATTAGATTTTTGGAAAAAAAAGGATAATCAATTAGCTTTTCCAAGCTTGTTTCAACTGGCCAAGAGATACTTTGCAATTCCTTGTAGCTCGTCTGCGGTCGAGAGACAATTTAGTGCTGCAGGTAAAATCATTACCCAACGACGAGCAAACGTTTTTAGATCCATCTACAGTAAATGATATTATTTTTCTTCGTTCTGTAGAAAAAAAACTTATATAATTAGTCTACTTAAATGTGCTCATTAATTTATATTCTATGTATTTTTTGTTGAAACAATAAATAAATATTAAGCATATATTCATAAAATATATTTACTCAACATATTTCTATAGAAGATTGACAGACTACTCTCATTATAAGACGATGCAAGTCTGAAAACAACAATACAATGCAACAGCGAACACAATGTTTTTATAAACCCAATTTGAGTCGAATCGAATCGAATCGAATCGATTTTTTTCGTGTTTTTAGCCGAATCGAATCGAATTACAATTTTTTAAAGACCAGAAAACCCGAATCGAATCGAATTACAATTTTTAAAAGGCCTGAAAACCCGAATCGAATCGAATCACAGTCCTAAAAAGCCGAATCGAATCGAATGTCACTTTTGTCATCGGTTTCGGTCTCTGATTGAGATACAAAGAAATTTCAATTGTGCACCAAAAACACTATCAACTGATAAACAATTGAAAACGGACTACTCAGCAGAACATTAATAGACACTCAGCATAACACTAACCGGATATTCTCCTCTAAATCTAAACCAAAGCATCTCTCTGTGAGCAAAAGCACATGAATAACTCGCATTCTGCTGTGTCTACCGAGTTCTTAAAAGAACTCTGTCTGAATTCTGCTGGATTTACAGAATTCTAAGCAGAATTCTGCTTTTTATCAACAGGTAAGTGTATGCATTGGAACAAAATTCTGGTGTTAATTCAGAATTCTTAAGAGCTCTGTCTGAATTCTGCTGGAGTTACAGAATTGTTAGCAGAATTCTCCTTTAAAGGTCTAGTTGGAGTACAAGATTCTGTTGTATCTACAGAATTCTGAATAAGTTTTCCTATATACGGGTATATGAACCAGAATTCTTGAATTCTGCTGGTGGAGAATTCTGTCTGCCCTCATTTATTATTCAACACACAAATATATGATAAGACAAAAATATACAGGGTGATAGAGAATTTGAAATTTTATCGGAATGCAAAATCACTTTTATAAAAAAATTCATTTTCGTTGTACTTATAACTTAAAAAAATATATCATACACAAGATTTTTCGAAATTGTCAATCGAGATGACTTCATTGTTCTTATATTATTTTTATAATAGATAAATGTAAGACAGTAAACAAATATATAGAGAGATAGAGAATTTCAAGCGCTTAAAGAATATAGTATTATTATTTTAAAAATATGGTGTTACAGTAATGATATGTCGAAAATAAAGTGCCCAACTTTTGCTTTTCGGGGATATATACGCACCTGATGATATTCAACTTTCATGCCAAACTAAATATAATAATGTTGAAATAGAAAATGGTTTATTAGCTCAATTTAATAATGATAAAAAACTTTGGCAACTATTATTTGCACCTGAACGAACAGGTCCACATGAATTAATTGTTTATGCTAAGCGAACTAAGGATGGGGAATCTTCTAAGTCAGACGCTAAGTTTAATCTTGATGTTACTAAACTTCGTCGACCAATGAAATTTCATATGATTTATACTCAATTTCGAACTAAAAAATGTCAAATTTATACACCTATGGATGGTATATTAAAGAAAGGTTCTGTTGTTCCTATTCATTGTGTAATTTCTGGCGCAAAAGATGTTAATTTGACAATTGATTCAAATTGGATCAAGAATGAAGGTTACAGAGATCCTGTTTTATAAAGAAAAAGCACAGTTGGTTCGAAAGAAGTAGCTATCTATGCCAAATGTGGAGAAAAGACAAGTTATGATGGTCTTATCAAATACACAGTTCAATGAATGTTTTTACTCTTTAAATATTGTTTCTTTTTTATTCTGCATTCGCTGTGATCAGATAGATCCTATCAGTACAAATGTAATATCAGTGTGACAAGATAAATAGAAGGCTAGTTAAGAGAGTGAGTTAAGAGAGTGAGAAAAAAAAAGACAAAGAAAATCAAAAGAACAATGTATGAAAGTGTATAACAAGGAGCACGAACAGTCGTGCAGTGCCCCGAAATGGACAAACATAAGAAGAGGAAGAGTAACAACAGATATAGAGCAAAAAACATGTTGAGCAAAAAAGAAGTAAGATGACAACAATTACCAAATAAAATAAAACAAATGAAGTAAGACACAATAATGACAAATGACAAAAGACAAAAGAAAAAACTTGGATGGAATGAGAGGGAGAGGAATACATAGTGGTTAGCTTAAGAGACTACTTCTGCTCTATTCTTTTAATTTGTGGTGAGTATATTCGATTTACTTTACTTTTTTCTTTTTTTCTGGCTCATTATGGGAAGAGAAATGTGTCTGTAAGTATGTTTTATTTTAATTGCGACGTGCAGCAGGTGGATGTTGACGTGGAACAGGTGAAGGACGACATGGATTGCGGTTGTGGTAGCACTAAGAAAGAGAATCATGATTAGATTAACTCAATTGTACATAGTGTTCCAAAAAGTATCGAAACATTGGTATATCTATCAGGGAAACGACATTCCATTCATCTCTTTGCGCCATTTATTGAAGATGGTTGTTATGATATTCCATGGAAAGTTCCATCACTTTAACTCACTCTTGAGATGTTCTTTCGAAATAAAAAATAGGTATGGAAATGATCTCCTTGCTATTGCTGGTTTTTCATTAGGTTTTTGAGCTCTAAAAAAGTTGGAGAAGTTTCTAAGTGTTGAATGGATTTTATGTGATACTATTACTGTGTATCAGACTTAGACTAGCATCACAATGTTGGAACAAAATCATTGTCGAAGCGCAGGTCGATCAGAGAAACTAGTCTTGTAGACGACATTTACTGTTAACAATATCCAAAACTATGATACAGGTAAACTTTTTTGTCACATTCGAGCCATTCTTTATCATATAGTGCTTTCCATAGTGGCTAGTAATATTATTTAGATTGGTGATAAATGTTTACATGCATAAACGAAAAAGTTATCAAATGAAAACATATTGTCATGGTTTGGTCCTATGAGTTTTCATCGCGGTCTTTTTGAGCAACATGCAAAATAACGTCATTATTTACCCTAAAGTGAAAGGAATGATGTTATGGCTAGCCAAATGTAATCACCTCGAGCTAGTCTTTCAAACTACTAGTTGTTGAAATGTATTCAAGATAAACTAGATAATCATTAGCTACAACAACGTAGCAGAGGTGATAACCAGGAAGGTCAATTCCATACCTATTGTTTATTTCGAAAGAACATCGCAAGAGTGAGTTAAAGTGATGAAACTTTCCATGGAATATCACAACAACTATCTCCAAAATATGGTGCAAAGAGATGGATGAAACTATCGTTTTTCTGTATAGATATACCGATGTCCCGAGAACTTTTTTTAACACCCTATGCACAATTTACATTAATACCGCCACTATAATAAAAGATTTTCAATACAGTTTCACCTGGATACATTCAACCAACACATTCAGAACAAATTTTTGTTTGTGTTAAATTGATGCAACATCGCTAAACGAAATGAAATACATATTCTTATACTTCTGTTGTTCTGTATTTACTTACAGTACGTTCACATAATGTTTGAGCCAGCCAAAGCTAAATAAAAAACATTTATGGAGATGTTTCCTTAATGTATAACTTACATTCATCACGTTTTTTTTATGAAGAAGCAAAGCAGAAATGTGTCAGATCACAAAAAATCTAGAAAAAAAAAATGCAGAAAAAATATTAAAGAGAAAACACTAAGTTATTGGTCATTAATAATTTTTTTGTCTTATTGTTCCTGATTCTCGTGATAATGGATGAAGAGATTTGAAATAATTTTTTGTTGGTTTTAAAACATCATAGCAAAATATTGTATAATAATCTGATAAACAAATTGATTCTTCATTCTAAAATATTTTTTTTAATATTATTCAAAATGATTATCATCATTGATATTCATTCTTACATATAATATGTATCATTATGTCAATTACCAAAATGTATATCAAGATAATATGCGGAATAAAATATTTTTTTACCTTACTTACACAACCATTTATCTTTTGAAATTTTTATTTTATTTATTTTTGTTGATAATAAATATTTCGAATTGGAGAAAAAACATATTCAAGTCGAATAGCAACATGATATTCATTATTAGTCCAAGAGTCTTTTTTTATTCAAAAACAAAACGCAAAATTTTAAATAATTAATTATTACTCGTGTAAAATAATCTCGAACAATTCGACTACTTTCATGTGAACATGGTTTATTATAAAGACTAAATGAAATCTAAAACATAAAATAATAAAAAATTTACCTGAAAATTTTTTGTTTTACATAACAACAAAAATGAGATCACATTTTAAATAATAATGAGAAATAAATAAAACCAAATAGATTTATTGATCTAATGTTTTTTGTGTGTGTTTGTATTAGGAATCAATCGATGATGTTCGTCTTTCACGGGTTTCATTGATAATATAAACGAACGACCTAAAAAATAAAATTTATCAACTAATTTCATCTATATAAACACAAAAGTCCTAAGTTATAACAAAAGAAAAAGAACGGCGGGTTATTCGACTTTTTTTCTCCGAGTTACATACTTGTTATTGATTTTGTTTTTGTTTATCTGTATATTCTAAATAACTAAATATTGTTCCACCAATTAATGATAATGCAATGCCAATAACTGTATGTAAATCTATTGATAACCGATCAAATACAAATAAACCAAGAAAATACTTGTAAAATACTTTTAAGTACATCAACCACACTAAATTTAAAGAAAAGTTATTTCGTTTTGTCTTTTTAAGATTAGGTTTTATGAAATAAATACCTTGTAGTTAATGCAGCATTTTTCATCGTACACCAAAATGTTGGACCATTAAGTAAACCACAACCTTATCTTGATGCTAAGAAATACAACCAAAAAGAAAATGGTTTACAACCTTCAAATGATTGTACAGTTGATAATTCATCAGGAAACAAGACCATTAAAAAGAATATCATTGATAATGATAATAAACTATTTATATAAAAAGCATATAAAGATGTTTTATGTTCACTAGATCTTTGAACAATTAGAAGATAAAGAGATTGAAATGTAACACTAAAACTATCAATTATATATGATTCCATATGAAATATTAAATCAGTCATTGATGTTATTGTAGAACCAAATGTTATAGCAAATACACATAATGCTGTTTTAAAATTAAGTTTTCTTTTCTTTTCTTTTTAATACAATTGATGATAAAACAAATGTTAATGCTGGTGTACAACGCTAAAAAAATATGAACAAAAAAAGAAACTAATGATTATAGTTCATATTTTTGACTATTAATAACTAACCTTAATTACAACATAAATAGCAACATTAAGTTTCATAAGTGCTTGTAAAGGTAATATTATACTTAAACTATAAAAAATGGATGGAACAATAAATGCGCATACATTATATCATGCTATTAATTGGTTTTAAAATAAAATGAATATAAGCAAGAATTTGGAATGAAAGAATAACAAATAAACTCTTACAAAAATTCGATATTTTAAAAAGTGCTTCATTAAAAAAATACCATAGAGAAAGATAAAAATCCATAGGTTAACATTGATGAAATATGCAATATTGTTGATGTTCCATTTTTTTTTCTTTGCTGTATCTTAAAGACAAAACAAAAAAATACAAAATATTTAATAAAATAAATTATACGGTGCAAGCAATTCGAAATTTGAGCAAGAATTTATTTTTGCGATATTTTAACATGGTTGCATAGAGCTCGTTGACTTACCCCTACATATGTACTTTTTAATTTTTCCGGGTTGAATTTTCTATCAAAACAAATTTGATTAACTTTTATATCAAAATAAGGTGTTTTTTCTCGGCATTAATCATGCAGTAGTATGTGATCAGACTTATAACAGTTGTTGGCTTCTCAAAATATTTTTTCCAAAGCAACTATTTCTGGTGGATTACAAAAAAGAAGTCAGAATCGATTATCAAAGTGAAATCGTTGAACAGAGCAGTCTATCATGAAAATATTTCAAAGACTGCAAAGGAGCACCTTACAAATACATCAATCATCCACAGATGTATCTTTCAATCGTTCTTTTTATTTCATTACAACCAGCATAGGAGTTATACGAGAAAAATTATGTATGGGCGTTGGGTCAAGCTCTTTCTTCACTGAGAAATGGCAGCTTCTCTTGTATATGAGCTATTTTACATGAGCCATGACCACCTATTGTAGAATTAGCTAAATAAAATATTATCAGATTCTGCTCGACTTATAATATTCTTGTAGGGAGAAGCGATTTGAACAAGTTGGATGCAAACCTTTCGAAAAAATAACCCTCTGTTTCTCTGGTATAGAACCTTTTCCAAGTGTCCTATGATTCTGAGATGTCGATAAGACTATGAGGGAAAGAGCAACACCCACACCCTCAAGAATTGCCTGCATCTTGCAAAATTTGATTGAATAATTTCAAAATCATTTATTTAGTTTTTCATTGTGAAATCTTCTGTTTTGTAGGTAACTACGATTATAAACCAATATTGTTCTATCAAGATAAACAAAAACAGAAAAAATGATAATAATATATAATAAATATCTTGGCTCCTTGCTTATTTCCACATATAGCCACATGTTTTTAATCTCTCTTTAATTAATTTTATTCATTATCGTTGGTCATAAATCCTTAATAAACAAAATAAATTCTTTTAAACAAAAAAGAATCACATGATATATATATACACTAGTCGACGATCTTGACTTCGATCTGTCCAGGTTCTTGTTTTTCTTGAATATCAGACAAGATTCTTTTGCCATTCCTTCTGTACAAGATTCTTGTCTGAAAAAACAGATCTTGACTTTCTGGCAAGATTCGTGTAGACACAATCTTGGCTGGCGAGGCAAGAAATGTCCCGCCAGGCAAGATTCTTGTGTTCTTGTATTCTTGCCTGATTCTTGTGTTCTTGCAATTCTTACATGATTCTTGTTTCTTGCTTTTCTGGCATGATTCTTGTTTCTTGCCATTTTGGCAAGATTCTTGTTTTCTTACAATTCTTGCTATTTTGAGAAAATCCTTGTAATACAGATAAATTTTATTTAGGCATCCATACGGTTGCCTCCTTTCGGTCCTATTATATTTTAATTTCGAATTAAAAAAAAATACAAAAAAAGTACATTATATGTGCAAGGAAACATACAAAAATTCATATCGCGTAAAACAAATCAAGAAGAAAAAAAATAAAAGAAAAACGATTGAACAAAAGAATTTATTCAAAAAATACATGTGTTATAGTTCGTCAGCGCGTCATCTAGAAAAAAATATATAATGTTCAAATTTCTGTATATTTATAACTATATATACACAGACATCACGTGATATTTTTCTTTAAGATATGTTGAAAAGAAAAGAAAAAAGAAGCTTGTCTGAATTTCAAGAAATTTGAAATATCTTGTAATTCTTGCGTGATTCTTATTTATCCGATCAATCAGACAAGATTGTGTTTTTCTTGAATAACAGGCAAGATTCTTTGAGAAAGGAAAGAAACAAGATTCTTGCCTGAATTTAAAAAAATCTTGAATATCTTGCCATTCTTGCCTGATTCTTATTTATCTGATCAATCAGACAAGATTGTGTTTTTCTTGAATAACAGACAAGAATCTTGTTTCTTTCCTGCCTCGAAGAATCTTGTCTGAATATTATGATTACAAAGAATCTTGTCTGATATTCAAGGAAAACAAGAATCTGGACAGATCGAAGTCAAGATCGTCGACTAGTGTATATTTCTTTTTCAATAGAATTATATACGAAGAAAAAAAAATGAATTAATAATAAATGATTTTTGTTTTTTTCCTTATCTTTGAACAGTTATGATAGAAATAGAAAATCCTACATTCTTTGCTTTTTATGTTTTTTTCCGCTGTCGTTCTTGAATGAATAAATGGATGTTCAAATGGTTTGAAAATAACGAACAGAAAAATGTAGCAGAAGCTAAATATCGAATTGAATGCAAATATATGAGAGGAAAACACGTAAAGAAACATTTCGAAAAGGAATAAATGAAAGAGAAAAGATGTCAGCAAATTACGTAATTTTGCTTTTTAAACTACTATTTGCAATTACTAAAATTATTTTAAATCATATTCCTCGCTTTCGATAGTATCTATAATCTAGGTTGCGCCATTAATTCAGGATGAAAATGTTCAGTTGGAATATCTAATCATTCATCTTTCTGTTGATGCTTTATCTTCAACATCATATTGTCATATTAAACATGATCGAATAAATTTCTTATCACTAATAATAATAGGAGATTTTCATTTTCTGTGTTTTCTAGCAAACCAATTAGTTTGACTACTTACTTTTTGTTTCTCAATACTATTCTTTTTCAAGAAAACTGATTAGAAATTCTCAAATATTATGCACAACAAAATTTAATCACATATAATCTTATGTCTCTTTTTATCTTCCTATTGACAATGCTAAAATGCATCAGTATTCAATTTGTCTCTATAAAAATCTATCGAAAAAAACATTAACGATTCTTCTCTTTTCAAATGAATATTGGATCGATATTTGCTTATTAAAAAAGGGATTTGATAAATCTGAACATAATACACCAACGATTGTAGAGAGAAAAGAGAATAAGATCAGATGAATATTCAGATGTATTATAAAAATATCTTTCACTTTATATGCCATCAAACTCATGAATGATTTAATTTAATTCGTATGAACTCTTTTTCTCTTTATGCTTCATTTCATCGCAAACAAGTAGTTGTCACCAGTTAATGACTGTCTATTCATTGTAAGTAGTTTCTAGCCACTATGTCTCTATCTTAATAGATATAGTCTTTCTCCAAGCATGTATCTAGAGAATACATAATGATGCAATAAAAACCAACTTTTTATATCTATTTTATTAATCCTTCAGATGGAGACTCAAGTCCAGAGATCATAATAGTGACTTTTTTTCCCGATTCCGAAACAGCAGACAAGTTTGAAATATTATTTTATCTGGCAATAAGAATGAACACTATGGCGAGAAAATAAGAATGGCATGTTTTGAACACTTGTGACAAAGTCAATATCTTTCCATTAACTATTGATTTATTTTTAGAATAAATAAAAGTAGTTCTGTTTTGAAAAATGATCATACGTTGCAATGACATAGTCTAAGATATTTTTCTCTTGCATGTTCGCCACTGTATTTGACGAAAAATTGCTCATCGAATATAGAGGAGAAAGCAAGAGAAAAGAGAAAGATATTTTAGTTACACAACTAATACACTGCCCTATGAAACAGAATGATCAATTCTTCGCTCTCATCTCGCTATATTATCCATGGTAACGAACACATTGAGCAAAAGATTCTTGTTCATTGTTCAAGGTCAATATAAACAATAATGGAAATATTTTGCGGTGATGCACATTGTTGAACACAGCTATAAAAGATACAATCATTCGTTTTTCTTCCTCATTCGATGGCATTAATTACACAATTCGGCGATTTACCAGATCTATTCTTTATTGGTCTGTTTAATTATTTATCTTCAATCGATATTCTTTGGGCATTTACCAATTTAAATAATCGTATTCAAACATTAATCAATGAACGAGGTTTCTTTCGTCACATCAATTTATCATCAGCACGTCTGTCAAAATTCGATACACTTCTTACTATACTTCCATTGAATCAAATTGAAACACTCATCATTGACATAGAAGCATCGCCTCTTCAACTTTCTCACTGGCCATATTTGCCTCATTTAACTACATTACGATTATATGGTTTACGTGACTTTATAGATGCTACCAATTTTATCCTTCGGCACTCAACTTCACTCATACATCTCACATTGGAAACAAACAATTTATTTATGTCAGTATGTATTACTTAAGAAATATTTTGTTTAGTTTCTTCTTATTTCCAAAACTGTCATATTATCTGACACCAAGATCTTTGTTTTTTGCATTAATTAGAATAAAGAACTGAATAATTACAGTCGGACGTCATAGATATGGAATAGAAAATAGTGTTCAATCGTATCTTCATCTCTATTTTTCTATATTTTAAGTTATTAATAGTATATATTAGCAATGTTCAATCACATTATGAATCGTCAATGAGTTATTTCTATAGATGAAAA